TTTTCGTAGTGCCTCTCTTTGTATTAATTCTTTTAATTTATTGATTTTTTTATTTGTTATATAATAATACCTGGCATTTAACTTAATATCAAAACTAATATCACTTAACTGTTCTTTAGATACCAAACAACTTCTACATTCTTGATTACTACTATAGCATTTTGTATCCACAAGATTGTTGCCCTGAGGAAGATCTGTAGTTATAATACTCAAAGCAGCTATTATCTAAATATATTGACCCCAATATTCATCAAAACACCTTTCTCTAAAATTTTAATTTTATCTATAATTAGCTTCATTATATCATCAAACCCAAACAGAACAAAGCCCAAAACAAAATGATTTTTCAATTGTTTCTTAGCCACAAAGACATATTGCAGAATTGAAGATAAATTTCATCTAAGAAATGATACATGTTATGAAATATACTAAAGTCATCATGATAAATATCCAATATTATTTTTAATATAGGCACATTATGAGGAGCTGATATTGGAAGTTGTGTATATTCAATTGGATAAAGATGCCGCAGTTTAATATCTCTTATTTTCTACGGGCCATTATGATTATATAAAATTTTGCTCACATAAAATTAATAATTAGATAACTCTGAGTATCATGAAGCCAAACTGTAACTGGCTCAATTATATTAAACAGATTTGTCAAATACATTATTTTGCTTAACCATAATTCTCCAATCTTTGCTCACTCTTTTCTTATTAAACTTGCAAATATTCTTGGTAATTCAGAGCCAAAATAAAGATATTGAATCTTTTAATTTAATACCATTCGAAGTTGAAACTATTGCTATAATTCTTTCAATCCTTGCTTCTTTATCATTATATTTAATAAAAGATCCTATTAAATATAATTCTAAATATTATTTTGTAATTATAGTTAATAAAAAATGTTTAACAAATATATATATACCATTATTTTGTAAATATATTATAGACTTTATCATTATCTATTCATATTGAGGATGGGCTAAAAAGGGTGATTCCTGCCAGATATTCCTATACCAAAACTTAGATTTTGTTTCGGCTTCGATCTTAGGTCCAAAATATATCTGCAATTATAAACTCCTATTGCCTAAAACTCTTCTAATATACTCACTTATGGATATAGTATAGGAATTCTTGAATAATGTAGATGTTGAGGGTGTCTTTATGTTCTGGATTAGCACTTGGTAAACTTTATTGTTTGGAAAGGAAGTTAGCTACATAACAACTTTAACTATCTAATAATCTTAATTATATGTTCAGGGTAAAAGTTAGAATATTCAATAATACATATAAGATTTTTATATGCATTACTTTCTAAGTATAAATCAATTAAATATATATACATATTTAGTAATTAAAATATACATTGTGATAGATATAATAATAAGTAATATTAATACATACTGATCATATATTTAGTAATCCAAGTAAATAGAAATATCTCTGTAAAGTTTTTGAAGTATAAACTATACTCTTCGGATAGCACTGAAAATTAATTCCACTATCTACTATAGTTTATGTTACTTCTGATTGTAGTCCAACTTCTTCCATAATTGTTGACTGATTATTACTACTCAAAATATTTGACGTACTACTTAAAGTATCCAATTCGCTACTCAATATATCCGAATCTATAGAGAAACTGTATTCAAAGTCATTATTAACATACTGACTTTTTTCTGAAAACCTTTATTGTAAGCTTTCATTACTATAATCCTTATAATTTTCTGAGTATAACAAAGCTTGGTTTCTAATATTTTGTGAAGTATAATATATACATAGTTGTGCAAATTTATTTTGTATTTGGCTGGAACTCTTATATGCAATATGTTTTCGTAATTCAACTTTTTGCATCCTTTTTTGGTTTGCACTCTTCTTATTTTTTATATTAACTATCTTTTAAATATTAATTATAAGCTGCCGAGATTAAAATATCTTACAGTAGCTTTTAGATAACAAAAAATAAATAGTTAGAAATGAAAATATTTAATTTATAATCTTTTGAATAATCATTTAAGGCAAAGGTTGAAAAAATGATGAAAAAAGTCTAAGAGATGAAAAGTATTTAATTTATAATATTTTGAGTTATCGTTTAAGGCAAAGATTGAAAGAAAAAGATGAAAAAAAGTTTGAGAAGAAAAATATTTAATTATAATATTTGAGTAATTATTTAAGCTGAAGGTTGAAAAAAAAAGTCTATGAGACAAAAAATATTTAATTATAATATGTTTAAGATGAAAGTTGAAAAAAAGGCTGAAAAAAAAGTCTATAAAACTAAAATATTTAATTTATAGTATTTTAAGTGATGATATTAAAGCAAAATTGAAAGAAAAAAAGATGAAAAAAAGTTAATGAGAATTTGCCATTATATTTATTATTTCTTGAAGAAGAGTTTGATTATTACTATTAATATTATAAATCATATATTTTAACTTAAGTTTCTAGATTTCAGAGTTATTAAAGTTCAAATAAATTTATTTACTAAATAGCTTATAAGATTGTTATTATTAAACATTATTATAAGCTTAATAAATACATTTAAGTTTTTAAGTTTAATAACTTTAAATTGACTTAGAAAACTCAAATCGAATGCAAATTAGATTTATTTTCACGTGATCAAGATATTATTTTTAGGTAATATTCAAAGTGAATATATATCAGTGCATAGTGATTTATTTTTGTAAAAAATTTGGTTTATAATGACATGAACAAGATTAACCAATAAATTTGATCTTGTTTAAACATTCCTAGCCTTTTGCTAGAAGTTTGTAGACTTAGATAAAATCAATTTTCTACAATACACAGATCTCTTGCAATTTAGTCTTTGATAAGGTCAATTTGCTATATACAATACATAGATCTCTCGCAATTTATCTGAATTTAAAAGATTACTAAAACAAGCCTAGAAAAAGACTTATAAATATATATTACAACCTACAATCAAATTACCCAGAATAAGATATATAAGAGGAACAACTATTTACAAGAAATGTAAAATATTAATAGCCTACTACTTATGTACAAAGTAATAGAGACAATAGAAGTGATACTACTATAATTATAGAAATGTGACAAAATTAATATAAGAAAACTTTTACGAAACAACAGATTAGCCTAAAGAAGTTAAACAATAAAGAAAATATACAAATCTGAAAACAGCAGTCTAAACCTATCTTAAAAAAATATCTGAAAGCAATTCTACCTATAGCTGCTTTTTCTTTTACCTTATCCTAACAATTAAAGCTTTCAACAAATCACGAATTATGAAATAAATATACGTATATTCCACAATAAGCAAAAAATTTCTTTTGAAAATTTTATGTAATTAAAGCTTTCAACAAATCACGAATTATGAAATAAATATACATTTATCCCATGGTTCCTAATTTGATCGCTCATGATTTTTTTTACTGTTATCTTCATGGTTTACGTCACAATATTTAGTACTATAACTGATATCTTCA